CCCTCATTTTCTAAAGCTAATTAGTATCTTCCCATCCTCTGTCCCCCCCTTGCTTACCTACGGCCTAGGAAGAAGAGGGCAGTGGGCCTTTCTCGGCAAATAGTAGGGGCAGCTGCTTGTTGGGAAAGGGAGGGAAGGAGTTGCTCTTGCGAGGCGTCTGGGGACAGGCCTCTGGGTGCGCTGGCAGTCGGAGAAGGCATGTTAGAAGTGCAGAGAACTTGTAGCGAAGCTGATCCCTTGCATCAGTGGGTGGATGCCCCTCGGAGTTCTGAGTGGGCCCTGTGGAGAGGAGGCAGTCGGTGCTGCATTTATGTATCTGTCTTTTACCATTGGGGAAAGCAAGGGAGGTGTGTACATTAACAGCTTGCATAGGGTAACTTCTACATGGGAATGTATAGCATTGGCACATACAGGTAAAGGGAACGTGTCGCTTCTGCCATTCTTGTCATAAACCAGTTTTCCCCGAGGGCATGGTAAACTTGTTTTCAGACCATAGCTTATGATGAAGAGGCTGTGTTGTCCTCTGCCAGCTGAACGTACTGTCCTCACAGAGAAAGCGTGAACCTTCTGGGTACCAAACCACCTGGATTCTGCCCAACCAGCTGGTCAAGATGGGAAGGCCCCAGGGCAGTTGGAAGGAGAGAAGCAATCACTTAAAGTTGAATTCAGGCCCTTCAAATCCTTTCCTGTAACAAGCACTTCCTGGAGCGGTGACCCCTTCTCTTCCACCTTTCTTTCCCTTGCACTCTTCATTTCTTAAAGTACAGTGGCTTAGCAGGGAGCGGGTGGGAGACAATCCCAGTTAACTGGGAGTTGCAGCGAGGAGCAGAGCTCAGTGGGAGCACGTAATGGCTTGATGAGGGGAGAGGGATTGTTACCAAGTTGGGATGGGGTAGAAGCTTTGCTGCCGAGATGGCTTCCATCTGCTGCGGGCTGCTCTGCGAAGATGCTGGGAGCTCTTGTCTGAGCGCGCCGGTTGGGTGTTAAAAGGGGGAGCTCGCAAGACTGTTCGGAGCCTCTGCCACGGCTTATCTCGTTACTGGGGCAGCAGAGTTTTGACTGGGAGGGGCAATTTGGAGGAGGAGAAGGTGGAAAGCCTTTTTTATTATTATTGTTTTTTAACCAGAAAATGTAGTGTCAGCACAAAGGAGCTTTTTGCAAATCTGTCAAAATGTTAAGCAGCTTTTTTTCTTTTTTTGCTTTTAAATCTGAAGTATGTTTTGAAGCACTTTGGAAATGCAAAGCACTAGGAGTGCTAAGTACTCCTTATCCTCTGTCTGAAAGTGGCATCTGAAAAGCAAAAGATGTATCTGTTTCAGGCCGCTGGCTGCTCCTTATCATTTTTCCAGAGCTGCCACCCAGCCCTTTGCCTCCCTCCCATGGCTGACAGGGGAGCCTGCTCCACATGCCAAGTGCGGGAGGGCTGCAGAGTCCCTCGCTGGCCTTCAGGGTGCGGGTTGGCTTCCTCCCTCCCCACCTCCCTCGGCTGAGGGAAGGGAAAAATGAAATGAAGTGGAGTGGCAGTTTGAGTGGTCCTAGTCTGGAACTACGGCCGCTTCTTCTGGCTCTGGAGACACCTTTGTAGAGTTTCCCGTCTGAAAAATTGCACCTTATTAGCTTAGCTGAGGGATGGGGAGATGTCTGTCCTACAGGGAGCGGGGCGAGGAAGGGAGGGTGAACCAGGAGCCCTCTTCAGTAGCTGCTGGCTTTTTCCAGAGCTGTATCCTCACCTCATCTCCACAGAACAGCAACAAAAGAACTCGAATCATTTAGATGAAGCTTTTGTTCTGCGTATCTCAAGAATCTTTTGAGCGGGCTATGATGAGGGAATCTTTTTTTCCCTCCCCTAGCAAGCTCTCTACAGCTGGGGGGACCCCAGCTCTCTCGCTGGGTTTTCAGCACCGACCTTTTCCCTCAGCGTACCGCACATCGTTTGGACTCTTTTGCACACTGACTCATCTAATTTGGTATGCTCCCCTTCGGCTGGGGGGGAGGCGCGGGATGGGGTCAGTTAGAGGGGAGGGTCCCCGATTATTTTTGTTCTTGTCCCTTCGATTGTTGCTGTTGTTCCTGTCGGCACGCTAGAGTATCCGAGTCTTTGCACACAGAAAGCTTCCTTTTGCACAGAATGAGCTTCTAGCTTTTGTACAGACTAATTGAATGTATTTGGGGGGGGTGGGGGGGGGTGGAATCAGGAGTAAACCAATTCCAAACAAACCAATCGGAGTATAATGCCTTTTCTGAGAGAGAGTATGTGCTGTGAAAGGAGATTGCAATAGCAAAGGGAGGGCAGGCTCAAGTAGAATTTGACACAAAGTGTGGTTTTATTTTTGTACTGATACGGATAAGAGACTGTACAGCATCTATTTATTTAGATGATTTATGTGGTAAATGTTGCAAACAAAATTATTAAAATATTAAATATGAGAAATGACATTTACCCACTGGTCTGTTTGTGTGGTCATTTGCCTCCCCTCGCTCTGATTCTACAGCTCAATTATTTTCCGCCAGTCACTTCTGTTGGTGTAAACATGCCGCGTGGCTGGAGAAAGAATGGAAAATGTGTGTGTGCGTGCGTGAGAAAGATCAGTAAAGAAGGATCGATGAAGAATGGAGCCTGCAAAAGGCCGTTTCTGACATTACTCGTTACTTTGATTGGAAGAGGTTAGGTTTTTATTAATTTTTAACCCACTGGGTAAGTTAGAGCCGTGCGGAGGTGACCTGGGAAGGTTTGTCTTTGATGGATTAGGATTTGAAGAGGAGAATGCCGACAGCAGGGTGACTGCCGCTCTGGGTTTAGGGAGTTGTTGACCACGGTGCCAGGACAGCTCTGCCGGCACCAGCCGGAGGAGAGAGCTGCTGTGCCCTGTATCCTGTCTCTCTTGTGGAAACGGAAAACCCGAGCGGAGGCCCGGGTTGCCGAACACGCTCCGTGACGGTTGCCAGGGGGGAGCCTGCTCTCCTCCGAGCCAAAGCCTGCGGTGGGTTGGCCTCCAGGGCTTTCAAGGAGCTCCCCGGGAGCACAGCAGCTCCTGGGTGGAGTTCGGCCCCTGATTCACCGCAGGTAGTGGGGGCTTGGCCGAGGAGCCCAAGTCCTGGGACCGCTGATGCTCGGCGGAGAGAATCCCACAGTGCCCTTCAGCCCTCCTTGGCCTCCGGCTCGCTCCCTCGAGGCGCGTGCCTCTCCACCCCCTGTGGAGGGGCAGGCTGAGGTACCTCAGTAAGCGAATGGGGCCGTCTGGGTGTCTCCAGAGGTAATGCGGGGGTGAGCCCTGCACCCCAACGAAGCTACGACAAAGCAGAGGGGGGTGGGGTGTGTTTCCTGAGTCAGCCGTGGCTGAAGGCAGCGTGGTTAGGCCTTGCCGGCGCTGCCAAAGCGCAGTCGGCGCGCGTGCCCTGAGCCAGGCAGGCTGGATCGGAGTGACGGCACCGGAGCAGGACTCCAGCCAGCCGCTTCGGTGCTGGCAGCAGCTCCCGAGTCAGGTGAAGTTGTAAGAAACTGCAGTGCAGAGTTACGGGAAAGCCTGCTCCGGGGATCGTTTCTTCCTACCCCTGCCAGTGCTGCAGAGGCTGGCTGGCACCAGGAACTCCTAGCGGCCTGTCCTTTTGCGTGTACGTGCGGGCTGGATTAAAGGTTAATCTGGATAGGGGTTTTTTTTGGTTTTTTTTTTTTTAAATAATCCGTTGCTATGCTGCCCCTCTGATCCGTGCAGTGCAGCCGGCTTGCCCCGCGCAGCTCTCCTGACAGGATGCCCAAGAACAAGGGCACTTGGCTGCGCCTCGGGACGTGCCCCCAGGCTCCGGCTACTTGGCAGTAACCGAAAAGGGAAACCGCAGGGTTTGAGCGGCTCGGTGCTCTCTGTCGAGAAGCACGGTGTGAAACGCAGGGTGCGCGGCAAGCGCTGCTGGGAAACCGGCGGCCACCTCCTCTCTGTTCAGTGCCACTCACCTTCCCAGCTCTCGGTCCTTCTCTTTCCAGCGTTTTGCTTGCCAAGCAACTGCTTTTGAAGGGAGGATGCTGGAAACCTGAGTGGCTGGGCCTGCTGTGGGAGCTCGTAGGCAGGCTCCAGGGATATCGTAGTGCCCCAGGGGAGCGGGTGCTCATGAACCCCCCCGCGCCTTCTCCTCCCTCCGCTACATCATGAAGTTAGGGGGCCAGAGGGGAGGTGGTTCTGGCCACCGCTTGGGCCACCCATAGCTGCTGCAGGAGGAGGTACATGGTCAGCTCTGAGGGGTCTGTCTCTGCTCTTGCGCCTTTCAGAGCTGCAGCTGGGAAATCTCACTGTGTTTTGGCACGGATGCCCGTGGTGCCGAGGTTTTGCTGAAAAAACGATGCGGCATTTGCTGGAGGGGCTGGGGTGTGCGCAGCTGCACCAGCGCCTGGTGCGGGTGAGGGAATGAACATTTCTTTACAGAAATCTGCCGCTCCTGATAGCGACCTCCCTGGAGCCAAGAGCAACGGAGGTCGGCTGATCAACCCTCGGAGTTGTTCTAACGGAGATAAGCGCTGTTATTCCTGCCGGGTCACGGGTCCACAAAAAAATGAGCCTGGAGGCAGCTACGGGCTTTGAGCAGGTAAGTTTCCTATTTAGTGACACTTAAAAAAAAAAGAAAGAAAAATGTTGTTGCACCTGCTGCTCTCCCCATACACTCGTATACCCCTTGCCAGTGCTCCTGGTGAGAAAGGTCTTGTTGCTCCCCCGCACTGGCTTCTCGGTGCTGGAAAAAAGTGCTACGGTGTAGCCTACCGCACCGGGGCCTTGAGGGCAGCGAGGCACCAAAAAAATACTTTATCTCAGCATCTGTAGTGAACAGTAGCTGTTCCGGGAGAGCCATCTCCCCAGGTTGGTTTTCTTGGGTTTTTTTTTTTTTTTTTTAAAGTGTTTTACTGGAAATGTGAATGAAACAAAGGAAATGCCCAGCAATGCCCCAAACCGCTGGATATTCTGCTGCTATTTTGCCTGGTGAGAGTAAAAGTTAAGATGAAAGAGCCTGGGGTTGGGCGATACCTGTACAATGGCTGCTTTGCAGCGATTTGAGACGTCGCTGTGGCTGGAGAGAAGGGCCTGCTGGCAGGTGGAATTTTTTTTAACTGGGAAGAGGGGCCGGAGCCCCCTGAAAGGCTGCTGCCCCTTCTGGCCCGCGGATCGGGGGTGCCTCGTGCTCCTGCCCTGAGGTGAGGTGTGATGCTCGTGACCCGTACGTCTCTTCGGGGACAAGGCCATCGGTCACAGCTGCTGCCTGGGAGTTTGCGTAGCCGTGTGAGGACTCTTCCCCAGTTTTCTCTGGAAGAGTCTGCTTTTTTAGGGTGGAATTTCAATTATTTGACGCTCAGCCACAAGTATAAAAGCAGTTGTTTAAACAAAGTGAACGGTAACAAATATGCCAATTTAAATCTGGATGGTGTTAACGAACCCTTAATGTGCAAGGTTAAGAGCAATTAAAAAAAAAAGCGAAAAGCAAAACGTAACGGGTGTGATCAAATTGTTCTTTTGAAGCCACCTTCAAGCATATAAAGAATGGAGATTAAAAAAAAGCAGTGCCTAGAGAAAGGGGGCAGTCCGGGACTTGTCCCATTCAAGGTGAGAATCTTGAGCGATCTGTCTGGGCGTTTGTTCTCGGTTGGCCTGCGGTGGTAAAATACCTGAGAAAGGGCCTCTTGCAGCCTGCTCTCGGAGCGAGTGATACAACCCAGATGCAGAGTGAAGTGAGGTACAGGTGGTGAAATACACTGTGGTTCAGTCCCTGACCACAGAAACACCTTGTTCTCCGAATTGTTCGCAACGCCTGAACCAGGGTCCACCTGACTGTCTGGTTGCCGTCTCTATCGGCATCCAGCCACCTCTCCATCCACCCCCCTTCGAATGAGGAGGTGGTGGGGGGGAACGTGTCCTCTCTTGAGTCGCTTTTCCTCAGGTCAGAGAGCTTGTGGTGACTGCAAGGTTTTAGCTGCTAAGGTGAAAAAGAACAAAACGCTGTAACAGATCTCGCCTGAATCGCAGGCAGCAAGGAGAACGCTTCGTTCTCCTACCTGCCCGCCTTGATTTTGGGAAATCCATCCCTGCTGGTACTGATAAATATGGCCGTCTCCAGAATCTCCTCCTTTTGGGTGGAACTTCTGAGCCAAGGGTGGAAAGGGAAAGGGGAGGCAAACAGGGAAAGGGTTCGCAAAGGCCACGGGGGCTGTGAGTGCTCCCTGCCAGGCCAGCCAAAAAGTGGGTAGCAGAGGGATGCCCATGCTCTGCAGGGAGCTGCTAAGGTCGTGGTGGGTGGAGAAAGAGCAGCGAAAAGCAAGTTGGCCGTTGCCTAAGGCCCTCATCATCGCTCCCCCTTCTTCCAGGGGGTATCCTTCCGAAACACCCCCCCCCTACTCACCCTAAAACCAGAGGTAAAGCAGAACACGCTGTTCTGCCGCGCCAGGTGGTACCTCCAGCTAATGGAGGCGCGTGAGCTCCCCAGGCAGAGACAGCTGCGGGGCCGTGAGCTTCCATTTTGAATCACAGAGGATGATTTGTGACTGAGGGGGTTGGGGTTTTTTTTTTCTTCTTTCTGGCTTTTTAGCACCTGCGAGCGAGCGCAAAGCACACTGCAAATTAAATAGGATTTTGCAGTAACGCTCGGGGCAGGGAATTCCTCTAAGTGACTTAACATTTTTCTCTTTTTTTTTTTGTTTTGTTTTTTTTAGAAGGTTTATGTAGCACGCATGGCCCATTTACCTTGCAGTGCCTTATACCGGCTCAAAAACGAGGGCGCGTGCAAGCGCCGGCCAAAAGGAAGGAAGGGGGGGAAAAAAGGGAGGATTGAAGCGCCTTTATCGTTAGTTTTTTGCCTTGGTAGGTACTTGCAAGGCTGCCCGCTTCCCCGCGCACCCCCCGGTGCCACCCCGCTGGCCAGAGGTGGGTGACGGCGCGGGGTGACGGCGCGTCTG